CTAGTGAAAATATTATTCAACTAAACAGGGTAACATTATAAACTCTCACTCACCTCATTAACTCCTGACTTTTTTTGCTCTTGTATCCCTTTAACTTTGTTATTTTACATGTTTACATGCATAGGTGGGGTAGTGTGAACCTCTGGTTGTTTGCGATGGCATTCTATAAGTGTTGTCAAAGAGACACAAAGAAGAGCAGCTGGGAGAGTACAACGAGGCAGACAGAAGAGCTGGGTTGAACAAAAAGACATACAGAGGGTTTGGGGGACAAAAATACACACAGGGGTTGGGGTAGATTATGAGACACACAAAGGGGCATTGGGGGGGACACAAAGAAACACACAGAAGGGCTGGGTGGGTCAAAGAGACACAGATTGCTGAAGGGAACAAAGACAAGCTGAGGGGCTGGGAGATACAGAGAGACACACAGAAGGGTGGGGGAACAAAGAGACACATGGGGCTTTACTGGGGCAAATAGACCCAATGCCCCTTTGTGTGTCTCATAATCTACCCCAACCCCTGTGTGTATTTTTGTCCCCCAAACCCTCTGTATGTCTTTTTGTTCAACCCAGCTCTTCTGTCTGCCTCGTTGTACTCTCCCAGCTGCTCTTCTTTGTGGAACATAGAGGCACACAAAGGGGCTGGGAAGACAAATGGACATACAAAGGGGCTTGGGGACCAAGAGGCACACAGAAGGGCTGGGTGATGAAGACACAAAGTTGTGCTGGGAGCAGACAATGAGACACACAGAGGGTACAGAAAGCCACACAGATGTCTGCAGGGCTTAAAGAAACATACAGAGGGTTGGGGGGGCATAGAGTCACACAGATGGGCTGTGGAAGGGAACACATGGGGGGTAGGGATGGGCCACACAGAGGGCCTGTGGAAGTGAACACAGACAGATGGCCTGGGTAAGTGAACACAGTGACACACAGCAAGGGGTTGGGGAAAGGGAATGAGAGACATGAAAAGGTGCTTGGGGAGAGACACAAAAAGGAACTGGGGAGAAGAGACACAACGGGGCTGAGGAGGGGAGAAGAGAACACAAAGGGGTGGTGGTAGTAATAGACACACAAAGGGGTGGGGGAGTAAGAGGTACACATAGTTGGCAATTTTAGTTTTTGGTTTTTTGAGGGGGTGTGCCCCCAGGTTTTAATGTTGCAGCTAAAACATTACCATTCTGCAGGAACGGCAATGTTTTCATTGCAGGGTTAACTTGCCTCTGGTGGCTGCCATGCTAAGAACCAGTAGAGAAGCATCAGCAAAATAGTGGAGTAAAACTCAGAGAGAACGGAACGCCGTCACTGAGTGCAATACCCACACAGGGCCGCCATCAGGGGGTGACAACTATGACAGTGGTCACGGGCCCAGTAGAGCCACGGAACTGCTGCGGAATGGGGCCCATCAGGTGGGTCCTATTATCTTCAGGGGCCCGGTCAGCGCTGTAATAGCTTACTCCACGCGGGAAGGAGGACGCAGCCTGAAGCCCGAGAGGAGAAACAGCCAACGCTCATCATCCCCAGCCACCCTCCTGCAATGCAAAGGTAAGGAAGAGGAGGGTGGCTTAAAAATGAATTATGTGTGTGTATATATGTATGTATGCCTGTATGTATGTATGCATGCATGTATGTGTATGTATGTATGCCTGTATGTATGTATGCCTGTATGTATGCCAGTATGTATATGCATGTATGTAAGTATGTATGCCTGTATGTATATGTATGTATGCCTGTATGTATGTATGTATGTATGCATGTATGTGTATGTATGTATGCCTGTATGTATGTATGTATGTATGCCTGTATGTGTATGTATGTATATGTATGTATGCCAGTATGTATCTGAATGTATGTATGTATGCCAGTATGTATATGTATGTATGTATGTATGCCTGTATGTATGTATGTGTATGCGTGTATGCCAGTATGTGTATGTGTGTATGCCTGTATGTATGTATGCCTGTATGTATGTATGTGTCTGTCTGTCAGTATGTATGTATATATCAGTATGTATGTGTGTGTGTGTTTGTATGTATATATGTATGTCTGTATGTATGCCAGTATGTGTCTGTCATCTCCTTATGCATGTGTGTGTTGTATGTGTTGTATGTCTGTTTCAGTACCGACATGTGCCCACTGCTTATTCATGTGTTTCCCCATGTGTTTCAAGTGCTGTGCCTTGTTCTCCTGTTCGGGAGCGTTCATATGGGGACCATCCTGGTGCTCCATTAGAATGTTCACACCAATCAATTAGAATGTTCACTAAGTGCGAAACCACAAGGGAAGTAATTAATGAGTGCTCCTCTGGGTGGCCGCCATTTCGTACAGACTAACACCACCCAGGGGGAGCATTCGTATCCTGAATGGAGTCGCTTCCCTTGCCTGGTGTACTGGTGTGGGGTTCCTGAGGTTAGTGGGGACACTTTAATGGCACTGGCTATGTTGGCAGGATTTCAGTGCCTTGGAGACCAGTTGGCCAGATCTCTTCTCCTTTGCTCTACCTGTTCCTAAAGGAGCCATAATCACTGGCCTGAGGAGATAAAGGAGCCTCCTGCCTACAGCTGGATGGTCAACAGGGCAGACAGCAGCTGCAGGGGCTTCCTACCCAGGAGCTATGAATCCAGGCTCGTGGCTGCCCAAAGAGCGCTCTCTCTGGTGCTACCTATGTGGAGATATCCACCGTTGAGAGCCGCGAGCCACAGCAGAATCCCTGGAACTGTGAGGCGGCTTCATGGCTGCAGAGTCCCACTGGCCGCCTGGAAGTCCATGCCGGTCAATAGGAGAAGGGCTACTATTCAAACTAGTTTTGTGCCCTTTCTCCTGATTGGCCGGCGAAACACCTCCCTGCCCCAAACACTGATTGGCACGATTTGGTTTTGCGCCCTTTTACCTGATTGGCCGGTGAAACTTCTCCCCTCCCCAAGCAATGATGGGCGCAAATTGGTTTTGCACCTGTCTCCTGATTGCCCGTTGCTTGGTTAGGTGCGAAGTTTGAATTCATGGGCCTAAACCAAGCGATTCCGTAGAACTGTTTTTTGGGGATGTACAGAGCCCCAAGCCCAGACTTTATAAGATGATTTCTCTGGCGCTATATCTGATATCCCCACTATTTGCAGGGATCCTAGTTGGGACCCGGAGCCATCCGGAGATATGTTTTCCCTGTGTGTGCCCCATTTCCTTCCCGGGGCACAGAGCCCCCTAAATTCCCCAATGTATGTAATTGTTGTGCTGTTGGCGTCTCCCAGAGCAAGAGATGGTTATATGTAAACCACCCCCCTCGAGCCTGAGGTTTGTACTGAATTCAATAGAGACCCCATGCGGGGGTCTGTGTATAAATGAAGCTTTTACCACTAAAGCATTGTCAGAGTTGGACTCCCAGAGTTGTGTCTCATTCAGTTACTGGGGAGAAATGGATGCCTGCTTGTTTTAAGGGTTCCTGAGTGGCTGAAGGAAGGTATTAATGGAGGTAACCGGTCGGTTACCCTGGGTCCGCTACAGAGACCATCTGATTGGTGCAGCATGGTGCTTTGCCATGCATGCGCACTAGCCTCCCCATGCTTTCCTATAGGAATTTCCTATGGCGATCTCGATGATCTCAGCCAAAGAGACAAAGCAACCTAGAGGAGACTGGCACTGTGAGGGAATAAAATCACCCTTTGCTTAAACCAAAACCACAACTTTTTATTTACAGAAAGTAGGGAACCATTAAGGTATTTAACAAAGCAAATTTTGACAGTTTTTATTTAATAATTTCCATCACTAACTCAGTCATAACTGGTGATATATATGTAATTATTTTGTGTTTTTCACATGGTTAATTTTCAGGGTAAAAGGAACACTCCATCCTGAAAAACAACTGTATCTCACCAAAGTTGTTTTTAGGCTTGAGTCCCTGGGTGCTTAACAATTTTGAACGGCTGAGACCCCGAGCGCCCCTTCACACTTCCTTCCCTCTCCTCAGCTGCTGTAGAGAATAAAAATTGTTGCCCTGGGAACCGTTGTTGACACTCCCAGCCTTGCCCCTGGTGAATACAGAAAGCTCTTCATGAAAATTCATAAACAGGTTCCCTTCTGTTAGTCTTATTATTAATAATCTAAGAGAGGAACCAATGCTTATATTAGGACCTATCAGATCCAAGAATCCTTGATGATAGCTCCGTTCTTTGACCTGGTTCTGGCCCAGCAACAACTGTCATAGCAAGGTTTAGAACAAAAAAAGGCCAAATGGAAAAATTGCCAAAAAAAAAAAATACTGTGTTTTGAGAATGTTTTTCAGTCTGGCTATTTTCCCATGTACTGTTGCAATTTCCTTGTCACTACTTTTAACTTTATTTTTTTTTCATCCTAAATAACCTTGTAGTTAGGTTCTATGTACAAAGGTGAATAATGCTTATCATCATGCAACCTGTGATAACAAGATTTTAGGAAGGCGGGAGCAGATTGGAGGAAAAAATATAAACTGAGTCAAATTAAAATTTCACAGGGCTCTGTGATATTAAACGAATTCCTGTGCAGATACACAAATGGGGCTTCCTTTGGCATGGTCAGCCACATAAAGACCATATATGCCCATTTTCCTTCCACATGCCCCGCTATGGAAACAAAAGACAGTGTATGGTCAAACGATCGACCATGTACACATGTGCTCTGCGGGGTTTGGTTTCTGGTCCGGTTTAGCTGCTTTTGCTTTCAGTGGGTCTCGAGGGCATGGGCAATGGTCTTCTATGATGCCCTCGCAGTCAGTGTGTGTACAAGTGTCCACAGTCGGCGCTTTGATTGGAGCGCCTGTCCATGAGGACAGTGCAAATCTTTTTTTTTTTTTTAATGGGTGGGAAATACATATAAAAGGTGCCATGAGGTTGGGGCGCCAGGAATTGGTGCTGCTACCCTGCCCTCCCTCCCCCAATTTTTTATTTTATTGTTGTGGTCTTTTATTGGGGTAAGGTCACCTGCCTATTTAAAAGGGGGTGGACTAGCTGTGATTGGTTATAGATTTGTTACGTTCTGGCTAATGGGACGGAGCTCTGGTAAGTCATGAGTTAAATCTCTAAATGTTTTTGAGACCGGAGACTTTTGGTTACAAGTTATGTTTCTCTGGGTGGTTCTGAGACCGGGGATTTCTGGTTACAAGTTATGTTTCTCTGGGTGGTTCTGAGACCGGGGATTTCTGGTTACAAGTTATGTCTTAGTTTGTAAACTAAATAAAAGACCACAGCTTTTTTATCCATATTCTGTCCATATTCTTATCCATATTTATCCATATTCTGTCTGTTTGTTGTATTCATATATGTGTAAATACTGATATGTTCTGTTGCTTTACTTATTTGGGTGTTAGAATTAACCCCTGCAGTGCACATGCATTTTTTTATGTAATGAAAGAACACGGAGCTGTTTCCCCACCATGGAACACAGGCAGCAAACTGTAAAATCTTTATTATTGTTTTGCAGATACAAAGACACGCAGAATAAAGCTTTCATGCATGGAGTGTTCATTCTTTGTACTGTTCCACATACAGCCTGCTCATGTGCAGAGAAAAGACGAACCCCTCCCATGCTACACGGGTGACTCAGAGCACAGTCTGCAGCAACTTTATCTGTAGTGTGACAGCCCCAGTCCGGGACAATGCACTCGTTGGGAATATCTGGGGAAACCAGAAGAAATAAAACCTGCTTTTAAAGGCACGAACAATCTGTAAGTTCTAAAAACTGACACTTCGTTCCTTTAACATTTATATGCATTAAATGAATGGGTGAACATTTAGACACAATGTCTTTTTGTTTTTCTCATTTTCCTCGCCTGAGCAAAAAATGGCAGAGTGTCATTTTTTTGTTTTGTTTTTTTAAAGCAGTGAGCATGTCAAGGGTTAAATACGTGTGCATAAATGTTTTAATTCCAAGCACTCTCGCTGCTTAATTTCATAGCATATATTATTCCAACAGGCAGCTTTCTCTTTCCTTTCATTCTGTTTATTAGGGCTGCAAGAATGTGCAAAGATGGTGCAGGCAGGGGCGGACTGAGAACCCTCAGGGCCCCCGGGCAAAATAAATCAAGGGCCCCCTTACAGGCCCCACCCATACTCTGCAGCAAGCGCCACCCTTGTCCCGCCTCCATGCACCGCCTCCAGCCACACCCTACACAATCTTTAGACACAAGGAACAAAAGGGCAATAAGCCCTTCGAGGCCCCAGCAGAGACTACAATTGAGGGCTAATGGGCCATGGAGGGGGGGTCTTTCTAGCGGGGGCTATCTCAGTGTCCTTTAGAGAGTGTGTTAGAAAGAATCCCCTCCAGGCCCCATTAGAGACTACAATGGAGTCTAATGGGGCCTGGAGGGTGGTCTCTCCAACACTCTGGTTTCTATTCACAATATAGCAACACAACATAGCTCGCTGATACCTAGGCCAAGTTGGCTCCTCTTACCTTAATTACTGTTGCTGGCTGGCAGTCTGTGGGCTTGCTTGCTGCGGCTGGCAGGCTGTGGGCTTGCTGGCTACTGCCGGCAGGCTGTGGGCTTGCTGACTGCGGCTGGCAGGCTGTGGCTTGCTGGCTGCGACTGGCAGGCTGTGGCTTGCTGGCTGCGACTGGCAGGCTGTGGGCTTGCTGGCTGTAAGCCTGTGGCTTGCTGTAGGCCTGTGGGCTGGCTACTGGCCTGTGGGCTGGCTAACTGGCTGGCTAACTGGCTGGCTACTGGCCAGCCTGTGGGTTGGCTGGCTGGCTACTGGGGCACTTGTAAATTATTTAAAGAAATAATCTATGCACAATAACCACTACTGCTCCAGAGTAAGTAGTCAAACCATTTAAGAACAGTTTGACAACTTACCTGGGATCTGCTGGGATATGGGGCTGTAGTAGGGAATAGGAGCAGTGGTGCAATATGTTTGAAAGGTTCAGTGTATGTGTAGGGTGTGTGGGCTGTGTATGTGTGTGGCAATGTTAGTATGGGGGGCTGTGTATGGGGGTCTGTGTGTATATGGGTGGGCGGTGTATGTGTGTGTGTGAGGCAATGTGTGTAAATGTGTATGGTGTGTATGGGGGCAGTGTGTGAATGTGTATGGTGTGTGTGTGGGGGCAGTGTGTTTATGGGGCTAGAGTTCACTCTCACCACTGTGACCACCAGGAATCCCTGGGGGTCACAGTGTTGAGAGGGAACTCTAGCCCGTAGCTCCAGGGCTAGAGTTGACTCTCGCAAGAGTGGTAACGTTGCCATGGTAACCGCGGCAACGCTCTGTGCTCGCGCAAGAAGGACCCAGAGGAGCTGCAGGGTGAGCTCCCAGGTCCTCTCTTCCTCCCTCCCCTGCCCGCACGGTGCCTGCGGACAGGGGAGGGGGGGCAATTGCCCTGTTGCCCCCTGGATCCACCAGTGATATATACAGCCCTTCTGTGTGCCTTTTTGTCTCCCCCCCGTCCCTCTGTATGTTTCTTTCTCCCCCCTCCTTCCCAGTCTCTCTTACCCCTCTGCCTCTTTCTCCCTCTCTTCCACTGTTTTTCTCCCCCCTTTCCCTGTCTCTCTCTCCCCCACATCTCTCTTCCTCTCTGTCTCTTTCTCCCCCTCCCTATCTCTCTATTCCCCCTCTTTCTCCCCGTGTCTCATTCTTCCCTCTATGTCTCTTTCTCCCCCTCCCCATCTCTATATTCCCCCTCTTTCTCCCCCTGTGTCTCATTCTTCCCCCTCTGTCTCTTTCTCCCCCTCCCCATCTCCCTATTCCCCCTCTTTCTCCCCCTCTTTCTCTTTCACCCCCCACCTATCTATTCCCCCTCTTTCTCCCCGTGTCTCATTCTTCCCTCTCTGTCTCTGTCTCCCCCCTCCCCATCTCTCTATTCCCCCTCTTTCTCCCCTCCCAACTCTATATTCCCCCCTCTTTCTCCTGACCCCCTCATGCTCTTTCTCCCCCTCCCCATCTCCCTATTCCCCCTCTTTCTCCCCCTCTTTCTCTTTCACCCCCCACCTATCTATTCCCCCTCTTTCTCCCCGTGTCTCATTCTTCCCTCTCTGTCTCTGTCTCCCCCCTCCCCATCTCTCTATTCCCCCCTCTTTCTCCCCTCCCCATCTCTCCCCTATTGCCTTTACTATCCCTCTTTCTACCCCTCCCCAACTCTCTGTTTCTCCCTCTTTCCCCTTCCCATCTCTTTATTGCCCCCCCTTTCTCCCCCTCCCCATCTCTCTATTGCCCCCTCTTTCTCCTCCCTCCCCATCT